TCCTTTTAAGTCTCTCTGAGGAATGCATGGCTTCATCCATGGGCTCAGTTTGGTCCACTCTTGTCTCTTTACTAAAGCCAGCTCCCAGAGTGTCCCCACTGAGCACAGACTGCTAACCCCATCCAGACACTATCCATCTGAGGAGTAACTACAATCAGCCACATGTACACTTCAGTCTCGTAGTTTTATTGTTCTTCCCTATACATAGAAGTAATGGAATAGAAATGTGACTGGTAATTTGGAACTTTTTCTAATCAAACTTGGCTCCTACCCACCCCACCCCATCCCCAGTACAGAACTGTGGTAGGAGCAAGGCTTTGGAACCAAATAGCCACAGAGTCAAATCTCAGCTTTGCTACTTTCTTGCTGTGTGACCTTGGGCAAGTTGCTGACCCTCTCTGAGTTCCCATGTTCTTCACTGTAAAATGAAGTAACAATAGTATCTATCTCGTTGGATTTGGAGGATTAAATGAGAGAATACAGGTAAAGTGTTTAGCATCATTCCTGGCTTAGATAAAGCACTCAATAAATGATAGTTCTAGAAAATTTCATTATTATGAAATTAGAAATAATGACATTTGATCATGGAAGCAAATGATACCTTCTTCTGTGTTCTGACTAGAAGAACAGTCAATACTTAGCTCTTCCCATGTGCCAGGCACCACTGTAAATTCTTTATGTATATTAACTTTTACCAGCCTTATAGGTTGCTGGGTGATACAGGTAGTTTGTGATCACCTGCTAACCTAAAGGTTGGTGGTTTGAATGCAACCAGTGGTGCCACGGAAAAAGATGATGATCTGCCTTCATATAGATTACAGCCAAGAAAACCCTACAAGCAGTTTGACTCTGAAACACATGGAGTTATTTTGAGTCAGAATCACCTTGGCGGCAATGAGTTTGGTTTTGGTTACCAGCCTCACAATATAGACACTATTGCAACTCCCATTTTAAAGATGAGAAAACGGAGACACAGGGAGGTGGCATCTCTTGCCTAGGGTCAAACAGCTGGTGAGAAGCAGGCTGACTCCAGGGCCCAGGCTCTAACCACCCTGCTGCCCTGCCTCTCAGACAAGTCCCCGAGGCCCGGAAACCAAGAAGAACAAACAGACAGGGGCCAGAATGAGTGGAGACACCAGAGCATGATGGATGGGGCTGGGTGACCATCTGAACACAATAAGAATAGATTAAGGTCACTGGCTTTGAATGGGTAGATGAACTGCACATTTCTCGCCTCCTTGGGCCCCTGACACTTTGAGGCTGGGGTCAGAATCATAAGTCCAAGTGAGGAACTCTTGAAAATAGGTCTTGCTGGGAGGGATACAGGCCCAGGTCCACAAATTCAGGCCAAGGGCAAGCATTGTTCTCAGGCCGCCAGTTTCCTGGAACAACCTCTGGTGCAGGGCAGAAGGGCCCAACTGCCCATGGGGGTTAGTGGGCCTGGAGAAGGGGGGGTCGTTCGCTACCAAGTCAGCCCTTATAAAGGCAAGTGATCAGCCCTTATAAAGGCAAGTGATTATCAAGCTGCCCATTAGACTCTGCTGACTCTAGCTCCTGATTCTTTTTGATTAGGAACTGGAGTCTCAGGGTTTCTGAACTTGAACTTGTCACCCTTGACTGAATCTCCAAAAAGCAGCGAGATCCTCCCACACGACCTGGCATTTTCTTCCAAGGAGTTACTTCCTGCCGCACCCCAACCCTTCACCTCAGGTTCTTCCCAGGAAGTTAGCAGTACGCAAGTGCTATTCCCTTTCATCCAAAAGGCACACACAGTTCTCCAGCAAAGGCTGCAACATGTACACTGCAGCTCCACACCACCTTCTCCAGGCAGTTGCCTTTGATTTACCTCAACCCATGGCATCACACTCAACTCTTTCCCAAGCCCTCAAAATATCTAGCTATTTATTCTTCTTCTTGCTATATGCATATGTCAATTCCATGTTTTTGACCTTGTTTTCTCTGTTAGACTGTAAGATTTCTGACGGGCAGTAATTTATTCTTTGATTACTACTCTAAGAGGAATTAGGGAGATTAGATGTCACAACCCCAATACCAAGCTGGTAACATAAACGAGTAAAGCAGGCCAGCTGTGCCAATAGGGAGTGCTAAGGTTTTGCATATATTGCCTAAAACGGAGTGGTTGCCCCTCAGCTACAACCAAGTGCTGCAAGGTGGGGAAGCGGATCCACTATTGTCAGATAGTGAAAATATTCAAGAAAAGTAAAAGATCTAATTTTTTAAGCAAAATCTTCTGACTTCTAAACATTGATACTAATTTAAAAAAAACAAACAAACAAAAAAAAACACTCTGCAAGCCAAACAAAGCCTGTGAGGGAGCTGCATTTTGGTCCTCAAGCCACTGCTAATTCATGATACACCATCTCTAGGGAACTTCTAGCTCTAAACTCTTCCAATTCCAGTTCAGCAAATCCTTGCCAAAAACATGACTGAATAATTTAGTGAATGGATGGGAGGGCCCACTGGCTCTCATTTTAACTAAAGATCTATGAAGAAGCAATGTCATAATGGTGTTTAGAAACTAAACGTTTTGTTTGAGAGTTAGGCTTAATTATGTTTGGAATTGTTTGGTTATGCCGTCTTTGATCATGTTTGAATCCCTCCCCCTTTGTTTCTCTTTCCACCAGGCATGGAAGCCCCGGAGACTACACCTGAACAAGTCCCAAGTCCCAGGATAACTGGGTGAATTAGAAGTCTGAGTTTTACTCAGGTCTGGAGGGAAAACAAGGTTATGCTAAGCAGTAATTGGGAATAGTTAATAATTGTTGTTGTTGTTATGTGCCATCGAGTCGGACCCGCCTCATAGTGACCCCTCCTTGGGTTTCCGAGGCAGTATCACTACAGAAGTAGATTGCCCCATCTTCCTTCTGAGGAGTGGCTGATGGGTTTGAACCGCCAGCCTCCTGGTTGTCAAGTGCCTTAGGCACTACGCTACCAGAGCTCCCAGTTAATAATTAGTGAGGTATTTAATTGCTCTGGGAATCTATTTTTCTTAAATCTGATTTTAAATTATACACAACTAAAAATATGATTAAGAATTAATGAATGCTATGCTGGGTCATGAGTTGTCATGAGTAGGAGCTGACTCAACAGCAAGTAATAACACTAACCACAATGTTCTAGGCAGAAGGCTGGCACTTTTCAGTAGTTATTTCTAATCTCCATAACACAAATTATCTGCAAGTTTAAGTATTCTAATTTACAGATGAAAACACCAAGGCTTAATAATGTTAAATAGATCACCCAAGGTCAAATAGCTGGTAAGTGATGGTGCTGGTACTCTTGTCTCGGTTGATCAGACTCCAAAGTCCACCTTCTTTCCACGCCAGCATGCTGCCTAAAGAACTGGGGACATCCACTTTTTTTTTTCTTCCACACAGAGAGGCTGACCCTTAGGACGAAGGTAGATAGTACTCAAGATTCTCCAGGGAGGCACTGGCAAAGATGAAAGCCCAAATGTTAGAGCGCTGCTTTTAGTACCAGACTATTCTGGGATGGCAGATACATGCTGCTACTCTTCTATTCAAGAGCTCTGGTAGCGTAGTGCCTAAGGCACTTGACTGCTAACCAGCAGGCTGGTGGTTCAAACCCACCAGCCACTCCTCGGAAGGAAAGTTGGGCAATCTACTTCCGTAGTGATACCGCCTCGGAAACCCAAGGAGGGGTCATTATGAGTTGGGTCCGACTTGATGGCACATAACAACTCTTCTATGCAGGGCCCATGGCAGACATAACTAATGTATTTCAGTGTTGTTTTCTTGGACTTTTGGCAGCCGCAATCAATCAATCAGATCAGGCACCTGTGATGATTCCTTAGCCAGAAGCTTAGCACAACTGCAAGCTAAAGAACCTTTATAACTGAGGATGTGGAAGCTCTAATTAAAGTCTAGAGGAGGAAACCACTAACTTTTGAACTGGAGGAACCTTAAACATGACACAGGAGAAGGATGGAGTTAGATTGTGTAGTCTTAGGCGCCAGAGCAGACAGATTCTGAGTTGCCTGCCGCCTGACTTCCATAGCTAACTACGCAACCTAACTTGTATGTGTTGACGCTGCGTGGTGACCTAGGAGCTGAGGAACGGGATACATCTGGCCTGGGAACAGTGAAAACACTTTGGATCTTACATTTGGCTTTTTTTTTTTTTTTTTTTTTTTAAGTTTGGTTTATTTTCCTGACATTCATTTATTGTTAAAACAGCTCTTTAGCAACATTAAAGGACATTTTGTGAAAGAAAAGCATCAGCTCTACTCCCCCCAGCCTCACAGGCTGTTTCCGTTTTCTCTTCCCCACTCTGATCCATGTCCACATGCAGACCTGTCCGCAGGGTGGAAATCAGCGTGCATGCAATTTGGTTCACTGCTTCTTTCACTTAACATGACAAGGTAAACAGGGTCCCCACATTTGTAAGGGCTTGGAAATGGTATTTGAAATGGCTGCTCAGGATCCCATTGTGGACACATCATCAAGAAAGACCAGTCACTAGTGATTTACCTAATCATTGGTTACTAGATCTTGAAGTCTCCTGAAGGTTTTTTTTATATTTCCTGCTGCAGTGAACATCTTGGTGCATATAGCACATTTCTTTCAATGCATTATTTTCCTAGGCTAAGGAAGTGGGACAGTTAGGCCAATGTGAAACCTTTGTATGAACATCCTTTTAACTTTCTGCACTTTCACACAAATAACTCTTGCAAGCTTTCAGCACACTGCACTTCAGTGAATCCCATGACAATCCTGGGCAGAGTGGAAGGCCTGGAGGTTAAGAAGCGTGCTCCAGGTCACACAGCAGTAAAGACATCTCTTTGGAAACAGCACTTGGGTTTTAGGCTCCTTGTCCAAAGCTCTTTTCTGTCACACCTGGGTGCAGGGATAGAGGCTGAGAGTGAGGAATCCACAGGAAATGGCGATAGCAGCATTAAAAGGAGGCTGAAGCCTGTCTGGTTGCTGGCTTCCCCTTGTCACAGAATGTCCCTTCCCAACAGGAGGCCCTGCCTGACTTTTTAATTAAGAGAAGATGCTGTTGGAGGGGGGCACCCCAGGAGGCCAGGCCGTGTTATCAGTCACCGATTCGCATGAAGGAGCTCCCAGCATTCCTCTGCACAGACCCCTCCTCTCCAGCAGCTGGGGAGCCTGAGGCGAGGGCTCTGAGGGGAGGGCAGGAGGTTGTGAGAGCTCTCTGCAGAGGAAAAGGCTGGGTGGTCTCCAAAGCTCTGGTCTCTCTCTGCCTGAGGCTTGAAGAAAGCACAATAAACACAGGCCAGCAGCCTCTGCCCCAGTCTCAGCCTCAGCCTCAGAGACTCCATCTTGGCCAATAGCATTACTTCACTGCCCAAGCAGAGGGTTTGGCAGGTTCACCCAGCCAGGCTCACTCCTCTCCCAAACCAGCCACACTCAGCACCATCCCTGGACCTCACCCTCAGTCCACCATTCCAGTCTGGAGTCCACGGAGCTGCAGGGCTAGTGCCCAGACCCAGACCAGAGGTCTTTCTGGGCTCACACTGGCCCAGTCTCCCCACTCAGCAGTCTTAGCAGTCAGTCAATGATGACTTCTTAAGCCCCTTTGGATACATCATCAAGAAAGACCAGTCACTAGAAAAGGATACCATGTTTGGTAAAAGGTCAGAGAAAATGAGGGAAACCCTCAATGAGATGGATTGAAACAACAATGGACAATAATGGACTCAAACATACCACCAATCATGAAGACAGCAAAGTCCAGGCAATGGTTTATCCTGTTGTACATGAGATCACCATGAATCAGGGCCAACTTGACAGCAACTAACAACAAAAACCTTGGGTGTCCAGTACGGTTCTAAGTTGGTGCTGGGACTCCAGAGGTGACCAAGACAAAGTCCCAGCATGGCTTTGGGCAAGTCAACCTCTGAGCTTCAGTTAATTTATCTGTAAAATGGGGTAAGCAATACCTACCTCATAAAGTTGTGAGAATTAAATGAGATGACATATGTAAAGCTCTTAACTGGCTCTTGACACCTAGTAAGTGTCTTATCAATATTAGCTTTGGCATCATCATCATTATTATTTCTAGTTGTAGAACATACACAATAAATACATAAATACTAATATAATAATAATAATAAATACAGAAAAATTCAGACACTGATAACCCCTATAAAAAAAGTTCAAACAGGGTAAAGTAATAGAGGGAGTGAGAATTTGTGAAAACACTTTAGCTCAGGAGGTAAAGAAGGCCTTTCTGAAGAGGTGACATTGGAGTTGAAACTTAAATGGTAAGAAAGAGCCATGGAGAGAGGATTCTAGGGACAAGCATCCCCCCCCCAACACACACACGTGTAACAGTAAGTGTTAAGGCCCTTAGATGGGAACAAGTTTGAATGTCTAGGAAAGAGAAAAAGGCCCATAAGGCTGGGGCTGTGCTGCCCTCTTCAGTAGCTACTAGCTATATGTAGCTATTAAATTTATAATAAATTAAAATAAAATAAAACATTCAGCTCCTCAGTCTCACTAGCCATGGTCCAACTGTTCAATAGTCAGAGGTGACTAGTGGCTACCATATTAGATAAAAAACCCAAAAAACCAAACTCACTGCCGTCGAGTCGGATCTGACTCATAGTGACCCCTCCTTGGGTTTCCGAGGCAGTATTACTATGGAAGTAGATTGCCCAATCTTCCTGCCGAGGAGAGGCTAGTGGGTTTGAACCGCCAGCCTTCTGGTTAGCAGTCAAATCCCTTAAGCACTACACCACATTGCAGAAAGTTCTATTGAGCTTAGAGAGAATAGATGATATGGGCATGAGATGGGACAGGAGTGGTAGGCAGGGGCCAGAGCTCAACGGGTCTTAAAGGCCAGAGAAAGGAGCTTGGCATTTTTCCTAAGTGCACTGGGAAAACTTTGGATGTCTTAAACAATGGGTGAAATTATCTAGCCCAGACTTCGGCAATATCACCGTGTGGTATGGGTGGAGGAGGGACTCCCTCTGACTCTCCCACTTCTTTGAGCTCAAGGAATCTTCAAAACTCAGAGCTGATGGGGAGTAGATGTGTTCACTGAATCCAAATCTGAAAGCTCTAAAGAATACAGAGAATGCCACAGAAACTTCAGGGAACCTAATATTTTCATGAGGAATGGATGGCTCCTTTTAGTGAAGGAAGAGTTGGAGCTGCCTGTATCAAGATCTTCAGCCCATGTCCTGGGCAGCTGTAGAAATGCTCCTGTGTTGAGTGATCCAGATCCCTCTTTAAGGGATGAAGGACTTATTCCCTTAGATGCTGGAGTGCTGCCAGAAGATGACCCTGAGTGCTCTTCAGGAATTGCCTTGCTTAGAGAGAATCACCTTGTCCAATGGCCTATCTCTCATGTCTAATTTGGGACAACTCTAAAGGGCCATACCAGCTCCAGAGCTACCTGTAGGATTGGCTGAGGCCTTTGATGAGACTGCATCACAGCTCAACTTCTCCCTTTACCCAATCCTGCTTTCTTCTCTTCCCTTTCGTGATGGTTAAAGTTATGTGTCAACTTGGCTAGTCATGATTTTCAGTGGTTTGGCAGGTATTATGTAATTATCTTCCATTTTGTGGTCTGATGTGAACAGCCAATCAATTGAAAGGGGAGTTTCCTTGGGGGTGTGGTTGATATCCATTATATATGGATGATCTGGCAAAGCTAACTGTCTTGATCAGCGTTCAATCCTGCATTCTCCTCATCATCTTCTGACCTCTGGTTCTTGGGATGTGAGCCAGCTGCCACCTGAAGATTTTGGGTTCATCAGCCCCTGCTATCATGTGAGTCAGAAGAAGCCTCCAGCTTGCCACCTGGCCCACAGATTTAGGAATTGCTAACCTCCACAAATGTGTGAGTCATTTCCTTGAAATAATAAATCTCTCTATGTATATTTATATATACACTTCTCTGGCTTTGCTCCTCTAGAATACTCAGCCTCAGACACCCTCCAACGGTGTTGCTCTTAAAAGCACTCTAATAACTTCCTGTAGCTAATCTCCATTTCAAAGTCAGCTTCCCAGGGAACCTAATTTGCACCAGCCCCCTCACCACCACAAGGGGAAGTGCTGTCCTTTTGCCCATGGATAGGAGACAGTCAAAAAGTCACCATGATGCCAGCACTAAATTGAGCATTGCCTTGACCAGGCTGCTGGAGATTCCCATGAAGGCAGCTTCCTCTGACTAACAGTGGCCCCTGGAAGGCCTCCAAAGAGCCCTTGCATTGGACACACCCACAAGGTAAGAATGTCAACTCTGTGCCAGGCATTTGTGGTCTGAGTTTTCCTCACAAAGCCTCTTAAGAGGGGCATTGTTATCCTCATCCTACCAAAGGTAAAGCTGAGGCTCTGAGAAAGTCTGTGTCGAGCCCCATTTCCCACAGCTCCTACATGCCAAAACTGGGATTTGAACCCGGGTCTTGCTGATTCTAGAATCTAGTCTTTTTGCTCTGTACCATTCTGTCCTTGCAAACTCAACGATTTCCATGAGTTAACTCACAAATTCATTTTAAGGGACTTAGGGACTTAAATCTCTTCTCGCCTTTGCTTAGCCAAGAATCAAAATGACACTCTCCTCCCTCCACCCCTCCTCATCCACTGGGAGTTTTATGGCTTAACCACAGCTACCAGCTAATGTCTGTCACAGTCCCAACTTTTCCAGGCTCTACAAACACTGCTTTGATGTATTAACAGCCCCTAATGGGGACACTGGCTAATAAATCACTAAGTGGAGCCCAGGCTATCAACCCAACCCAACTCTCCTAACCTCTGACCTCACTCAGTAACTGGCTGTGGAAGCATCCATATCCCAGGAGGCACTGAGACAGGACAATTCAGGGAAGCTAAAATACCTAGACAGCTCACACTGAGCAAGGAGGCCTGGAAAGAAGCCAGGAACATTGTGACTTCAGCAGATGGGAAAAAACACCTATAACAGAGTCACTTAGGGAACACAGTAGTTGGTCCCCCGGGACAGGATGAGGCCAGTCTTGGAAGATGTCAGAAGACACCGTCCTTGTAGCCAGGCCCTGAACACAACAGAAAACTATATAATTGGCTTCTGAAGAAACAGGTCCCATATGTTACTAGTCTGAGAAAGTCTTGCAGAATTGGTGGGTGAGGGAATGGCTGGAGCCAAGACCAGAAAAGGGATGTGAAAAAAGAGAAAACAACATTCCCTTTTTTATTGAAATAAATAAAAATAAAAACCTGCTACATGAGATAGTAATCCTATAATCCTACAACCCTCCCAAAAGACAGGGGAGACAGGCTACCAAGCAGGGTGTTCCCTGCATACGTCCACGAAAGGGGTGCTGGGAATTTATGAGTGTGGAATTGTTCCATGAGGCCCCCATGAGCACTGGGCTAGGGGACCAGGGTGTCTCTGCCAAGTCTCAACCCCTCTCCTGGAGAAACTTGGAAAGGATTCAGTGGGAGGGCAGGCCAAGGTCCAAAAGGTTTGGAGCCAAACAGACCTGGTATCTGTGCCAAGTGAGTCAAATCCCAGTGACTCTCAATGCTACGGAGCTCCAGACACACTTCTGTTCATTTCCCTTAGCCTCAGTTTCCTCATCTGTATAATGAAACCAATAGTACCAGCTTCCTTATCATCAACTAATAGTATCAGCTTGCAAGGTTGGAGTGAGGACAAGACAAACAGACCTAAGGTTCTTACACTGAATAAGCACTTGGTGAATGACAGCTTTGCTTCTCATTACTAAGATCCTACGTGGGCTTCAGACGCTCGCTATACATTGCAGTAACCTCAGCTATATGGCTTTGTGACACCCCTTGAGTCCATCTGATCCATCTTCTTGGCAATCTCTTAGTTTTTCTTCCCTCCTCTCCCAAAACTCTGTCTCAGCTGGTTGCAGTAGCTTTCTCACCTCCAAGGCTCAAAGGACTTGAGCAAATGACCACAGAATCCATCTGGCACAGACAACCCCTGCTCCCACTGTAGGAACCCAGGCAGAGGAAGGAGATGGGACCAGGGGACAAGAAGGCTGTGGTC